TACTACAAGCTCATCTTAAACCAAACCACTGCAGTCACCATACTCACACTTCAGTGAAAAAAACTCCTCACACAGTCCACGTTTTCTCAGATTTGCTCCATTGTTTCACTTAGGAAGAGTGACTACCTGTGTTTGAATCTAAGTGCGTGCGTGCATGCATGCGTGTGTGAGAATATGTGTGCATGTGTGTTTACATACAGAGGCTGCAGACCGGCCCTGGCCCCTCTGAGCCACAATAGCTCCTGAAATAGCCTTAATCCAGCCGTGCATCTCCTCGGGACTATCAGCCTGAAATGAAGGGGAAAAAATAATTACTATTATTGCTATTTAAAAGAAAAATGATAGTGATAGTTTACCATTGTATTAAATGCAAAGCTTGATGAATGACAAGATTCCTCACCTGGACAAAAAATGTTCTTGAGGTTGTGACGACTTCAAAGAGGTTGTCGCGCATCATTATTTCACTGTAGGTGAAAATGAAGAAAATATAATTTCATGTTTTTATCTATCTGTCTATCTATCTATCTATCTGTCTGTCTGTCTGTCTGTCTGTCTGTCTGTCTGTCTATCTATATAGATATATATAGATATAGATATATATATATATATATATATATATATATATTAATTGATTTCCTCAACATTCTACACACAATCCCCCATAATGACAATGTGGAAAAAGATTTGTTAAAAAATGTTGCAAATTTGTATAAAAAAAAAAAAACAGTATAATCAGATGTACATCAGTATTCACAGCCTTTGTCATGACGCTCTAAATTGAGCTCAGGGACATTCTGGTCCACTGATCATTCTTGAGATGTTTCAGCAGCTGCATTGGAGTTCACCTGTGGTCAATTCAGTTGATTAGACGTGATTTGAAAAGGCATACACCCGTCTATATAAGGTCCCAGGGTTGACAGTGCATGTCAAAGCACAAACCAAGCATGAAGACAAAGGAACTGCCTGTAGACAATTCACAAGGCTGGGGAAGGTTACAGAAAAACTTCTGATGCTCTGAAAGTTCCAATGAGCACAGCGGCCTCCATCATCCACAAGTGGAAGATGTTTGGAACCACCAGGACTCTTCCTAGAGCTGGCCGGCCATCTAAGCTGAGTGATCGGGGGGAGAAGGGGCTAAGTCAGGGAGGTGATCAACAACCCAATGGTCACTCTGTCTGAGCTCAGAAGGACAACCATCTGCAGCAATCCACCAATCAGGACTGCATGGTAGAGTGGCCAGACGGAAGACACTCTCCACCTGGAGTTTGCCAGAAGGCATCTGAAGGACTCTCAGACCATAACTAAATTCACTGGTCTGATGAGACTCAAATTGAACTCTTTGGAGTGAACGCCAGGCGTTGTGTTTGTAGAAGACCAGGCAGCACTCATCACCAGGCTAATATACCATCCCCTACAGTGAAACATGGTGGTGGCAGCATCATGCTGTGGGGATGTTCTTCAGCAGCAGGAACTGGAAGACTAGTCAGGGAAAGATGAATGCAGCAATGCACAGAGACATCCTGAATCAAAACCTGCTTTAGAGTGCTCTTAACCTCAGACTGGGGCGACGGGTTCATCTTCCAGCAGGACAGTGACCCAAAGCACATCGCCAAAATATCAATAGACTGGCTTCACAACAACTCGGTAAATGTACTTGAGTGGCCCAGCCAGAGCCCAGACATAAATCCTATTGAACATCTCTGGAGAGATCTGAAAATGGCTGTACACGTCACTTCCCATCCAACCTGATAGAGCTTGAGAGGTACTGCAAACAGGAATGGACACAAATTCCCAAAGTCAGGTGTGCCAAGCTTGTGGCATCATATTCACAAAGACTTGAGGCTGTAATCACTGCCAAAGGTGCATCAACAAAGTATTGAGCAAAGGCTGTGAACACTGATGTACTGATCTGATTTTTCAGCATTTCAAACACTCTTTTTTCACATTGTCATTATGGGGGATTGTGTGTAGAATGTTGAGGAAATAAATGAATTTAATCCATTTTGAAATAAGACTGTAACATAAAAACATGTGGAAAAGGTGAAGCGCGGTCAATACTTTACGAATGCACTTTAGAAGCCGAATGTCTGTCTATGCCATTCAGCACAAGCTATGGTAGGTAAAAACCTTACGCATGCCTCAGTTGGTACATAAAAACCAGCAGTAATTAGGTTTATAATGATATATTTTACAACGGATTCAACCAGATTTATTAATTCATTCATTTTCCTTTAGCATAGTCCCGTATTCATAAGGGGTTGGCACAGTGGAATGAACCACCAATTATTCTGGCATATGTTTTACGCAGCATCCCTTCCAGCCACAACCCAACACTGGGAAACATCCATACACTCTCATTCACACACATAAACTACGGACAGTTTAGCTCACCTAATTCACCTGTCTTTGGACTCAGGGAAACTGGAGCACTCGGAGGAAGCCCACGTGAACAAGGGGAGAACATGCAAACTCTACACAGAAATGCCATCTGACCCAGCCAAGGCTTGAACCAGCGACCTTCTTGCTGTGAGGCGATTGTGCAACTCACTGAACCACCGTGCTGCCCATGACATGTTCATCAGAAGCTCCTTCAGTAACGTGCTTCCTTCATGTGCAGTTTTCATGCAGCGACAAAGTCTGTCCTATCAAAACAGATAAATTTAAAAGCAATGAAATAATGAATTGTCAGCCAAGTTATTTCAACTCAATTTTGATTATAAGGACCAAATCAAACCATTGGCTTCAAAGTATATTGCGTATTGTTAAAAAGACCAAAAATAATCTGTATTTTGCATACTATTAAATACAAAATGTGCTTACAATCTGTGGGAAACTTCATCAATAATTTCATTAAGCGCATTACAAGCGTGTGGCAAAAGTGGAACGTTTCATGTAGTATTTCCAAGCTAATTTCAATTTGTTTTTAATCTCACAACGATGACAGCCTCGTGTTAGATTTACGTGTAGTGCCTTTCCAAGTCCAAACAACCATAAACACTCCTTTCATTCGCCGCTCGTTGGGACATCTCCAAGGAATAGGAGTGCAGAAAGAGATGCAAACAATAACAATTACGCAATTTAAAATCCAAAACTCACACACATCCATTATTAATCGGCCGGTAAAATACGCTTTCTGCCAAATTATTGACAATCTGTTGTGCTGAATGAGGGATGGGAATATCCCTGACGCTGACAGTTGTTGGTTTGGGATAATAAAGTAAAACCCACCTCTTTAATCTTTAATAGACCCTCACTAATCCCCTAGTTTAACAGGCGGACCCTAAGGGAGCGTTAGCGCTGTCTGTGCTACAATA